TTTTTTGAGTTGAAGTCTCACTCTATCACCCAGACTGGAGTGCAGTGGCCGCTCCCGGCCACCGCAGCCTCGACCTGCTGGGCTCCGGCGATCCTTCCGCCTCAGCCTTCCGAGTAGCCGGAATTACAGGCATGCGCTACCACGCCCGGCTGATTTTTTTTTTTGATTTATTGTAGAGATGAGGTCTCGCTGGCCAGGCGGGTCTCGAACCCGCGGGCTCAGGCAATCCACTCATCTCAGCCTCCCAAAGGCGCGGGATTACAGGCTGAGCCACCGAGCCCGGCTCTACAGAAATATTTTAACACTTTTAGAATACCCGGGATAAAAATTAAAATAATATATTGGAAAAAAAAACACACTAATTTCATGACAATTTTACATTTATTAATCATTAAAGATTTAGTGCTATAAAATGAAAGAGCAATAATAGTACATATGGTAATTTCATAATCTAAAATACATTTAGCTAGTGACTGATATTACCATTCAAACTTTGAGAAATACCCCATGGTGTCAAAATCATAAAGATCACTTTACTTCTGTAAGCAATTGGAAATATTCTGGTCAAGTTATCTAGACGTTGAGATCTAGAATTAATTTCTGGCATGGAAATTTATACAAGATAATTAAAAATTTAATTACAGGCTATAAAATAATTCACTAAATCAGATTCTGTTATATCAATGTGATGCATCTTTTTTTTTTTTGCAATTTTTTCTCAAATTTTAAAAATCTTCCAATTATTTATAATTAAGTTTAGATAGCATTTTATGAAAACTAGCTCATGTTTATTTTTACTAAATATAAAGCTCCTTTCATTTACCTAAAAATATGTATGTAATTTATACTCGGCATTCATAATTTGATGTATTTTTATTAAAAATTTTATCTTTAATGGCTCGACTAAATATAGTTATTTTTATACTTTTACTGGTTACAAAATCCAAAAGTAATTGTTCATTATCTTGATGGTTGCAAGTTTTACTTTAAATTATATTGATTAAAAATCTTAATATAATGTGTGTATATACTTAGCTAATTCTTGACAGGCAATAATTTAAATGAGTTAAGACATTTTTAAAAAATATTTTATATATTAGTCTTATTTTTCACCATAATTTATTCAAGTAAAACGCCAATGTTCTACTTTGATTTCATTCTAAGTTAATTCCACCTTATTTATATTGCATCTAGCATTTAAAATTTTTTTATTATACAAAATGTGTTGCTAGAGAAAGAAAAGAATGACAACACATACCTTCTGTCTCCAGAAAGTCCTGCATTCTTTGGTGGAGAGGTCAGGTTATTCTCATGAGGAAACAAAAAATGTTTGTGATCTTCACCACTGCCCTGTGAAGGCTCAGAGTGAAGCAGGAGTGGAAACAGTAGATTTCATAAATGTGTCACTTAAGATTTGAATAGAAAACTCTCATACTTTAACTAATGTAAAATCAGTTTCTCTCATCACATTCATACATTTTCAGAATATAGGAGACTTTGGTTCCTAATGTGTCATTTATTTTGTCCATTTTCAAGTGCCTCTTAGAAATTACTTTTATATTTAGCATGATGAAAAGGAACAAAAACTTTAGTAACTATGAAATGTTTTCCATCACAATCACAAACACAAAAATCTTAAGCCTTGTTAATAGTATCCTTGATGTATAAGTTCCATAGTTAGACAAACTTGAAATTACATACTTTTTTCCTTATACATTTAATATTATTGCTCTTATGATGAATTTTTAAAAAAAATTATAATCCCCCTATCCACAGGAATTTAATTTGTCACTAATTATTATGAGGGATGACTACATTATTAACTTTAAGTGAAATCAATTTCTGAACTTAAATTTGCAAATTTATCTTCTTGATTTCTCTAATTTGCAAAATTCCATTATTCAATTTTATTATTTAATAAGCTGATCATATTTAGCTAACAAAAATAAATGTCTCTTGGAAGGATAAAATGTTAAACACTATTGAACTATATGACCATGTCAAATATTGAAATAATAAATAACCATTCATTTTATTGTTCACTGATCTATTGTCCAATAATAAGGAATTATCTATGTTTTCTTGGAAATATTTTTGTAAATAGCTAAATTTAAGTCCAACTCTGTAGAAGGTGATAAGTAATTTCTAAAATGTCACCTAACTAAAAGTAGGAAGAACAGAAAAAGCACTCTGAAACAAAATTTCAGTGACATGTGAACATCAGAAGAAATACTTCAAATTATTCAGTTTAATTAAAATTGAAATTATTTTATTATTTTTCCTTTCATATCAAGAAAAAGGGGAATGTCTCTTGTCTGTAATTCCAAAGCATATTCCATGATGCCTCTTAAAGATTAAATTTTTAAAAAATAGCTTTCTTAAATCTAGAAAACTAAAATTAAAATTCATATGTATGTCCTTGGAATCAGATCAGTTATTTGAGCCTTCCAGACAATGACTAATGTGTGTTAGCCATATATGTATTTCTGTTAATTATATTTTTAAATATTTTTATAAAGTAAATCAGTAATCTGTCATGCTTATACACTTGTGTGCATATTGTATTTCTATTAGTAATACATTTATTTATATTTATGTATTACAATTTCATGAACTACATTAATATATTTTCCATTAGTCTTAATATAGAAATATAACAACAAAATCATTTAATTAAAGATAGCAAATAACGTAACATTCACCAACATTTTGCTTTTAAATTTGAGATACTAATGTCTACCATTCTTTCTTCAAACACTCACTTTTGTTTCCAATTAAATAGCATTACAGTCATGTATTATTAATGATGCGGAAACATCTTAGAAAATGCAAGGTTTGATGATTTTGTCATTGTGTGAACATCATAGAGAGGACTTACACAAACCTAGATTATATAGCCTACTACACACCTACGCTATATAGTATAGTCTATTGCCTCTAGGCTACAAACCACACAGCATGTACTCTATTGAATATTGTAGACAATTGTAACACAATGGTAAATATTTGTGTATCTAAACATAAAAAGGTAAAAATGGTGTGCTGTACAGGACACTTACCACCAACGGGACTGGACTGGAAGTTTATCTGGGTGTCAGTGAAGGTTGAGTGAATTTGGGGCCTATGACATTACAGTAATTCACTATAGTAAATTGTATAAATATTGTGCACTGAGCCTACACTAAAGCTATACAAATATTTTTCTTTCTTCAATCATAAACTAATATTAGCTTACTGTAAATTTCGACTTTATAAACTGTATATTTAACTTATTGGTTCTTTAATTAATTAATTAATTAATTATGAGTTGGAGTCTCTGTCGCCCAGACTGGAGTTCAGCGGCATGCTCCCGGACTCGACCCTCGACCTCTTGGGCGCCAGCAATCGGTCCGCCTCCGCCTTCCAAGTAGCTGGAACTACAGGTTCGTGCTATCACGTCCGAGTAATTTTGATTTATTGTAGAGATGAGGTTTCGCCAAGTTGCCCAGATGGGTCTCGAACCCACGGGCCCAGGCAATCCACTAACCTCAGCCTCTCAAATCGCGGGATTATAGGCTGAGCCCTGAGCCCAGCTATATTGGTTCTTTTTAAATAATATGTCTAAAAACACACACTGTTCAGCTATACAAATATATTTTCTCAATATCCTTATTCTATAAGCCTACTACTATTTGAAATTTGTTATTATAATTTTTTACTGTCCTTAATTGTTATTAAAAGCTAAGATAGATACACATGCATTAGACTATGCCTACAGAGGGCCAGTATAACCAATGTACTGTCTTCCACCTCCACGTCTTATCCCACTGGAATGTCTTCAGGGACAATAACATGCATGGAACCGTCATCTTCATGATTCTGAGCATGTCCTGAAAGATCTGCCTAAGATATTGTTTTACAGTTAGCAATTTTTTATAAGTAGGAAGAGCACAATAGATAACAACAATTAAAAAGCGGTGGCTCAGCCTGTAATCCCACGCCTTGGGAGGCTGAGGTGAGTGGATTGCCTGAGCCCGCGGGTTCGAGACCCGCCTGGGCAACTTGGTGAGACCTAATCTCTACAATAAAAATCAAAAAATTAGCCGGGCGTGGAAGCGCACGCCTGTAGTTCCAGCTACTCAGAAGGCTGAGGCGGGAGGATAGCCGGAACCCAGCAGGTCGAGGCTGCGGTAGCCGGGAGCGGAC